CTATTCCTACTCATAGTGACCCTATAGTACAGAGTAGAACTGCCCCATAGGATTTCCAAGGCTGGTAGATTTGCACTGCCAACTTTTTGGTTAGCAGCTGAGCTCATAACCACTGTGCCACCAGGGCTCCAAATAATATTTACATAAAGAAAAACAATAATCTTCTTTCCCCTCCATTCTAATGTTAATAGTTCACTCTGTCCCTCTTTACCCATGCTCTATCCCTCCGTACCCACATGTCTATAGGTGTAGGTACATACATACATGTATACATATATATGTACATACACATGTTGTTGTTGTTTTGTGCCGTTGAGTCTTTTCTGACCCCATATGTTACAGAGTAGGGTTTTCTTGGCTTGTAATCTTTACAGAAGCAGATCGCCAAATTTTTTCTTCCGTGGAGCTGCTGGATGGGTTTGAATAGTCAACCTTTTGGTTAGCAGCCGAGCACAAACCATTTGCACCACCCAGGGACCTTCATACATACACATGCTCATATGTGTGTGTGTGTGTGTGTGTGTGTGTTCCCCAGACAACAGGGAAGAACAGTCAAGAAGGGCCAACCCCAGGAAGTGATGTTGGTGATTCATCAGGAAGTTTTGTCATTTCTGATTCACCTCAGAGCCACAGTGATCAGCTATTGGGAAGGGCCCACTTTCACATGATGCACAAAATTAAGGTCTAGGCTGTGCAGTGTTATTTAACAGTCCTATTTACTGTTTTATCTGAATGCTTATAGACCTGTGCTGTTCAATACTGTAGCTACTGGCTCCTTGTAGCTATTGAAATTTAAATTAATTAAATCTAAGTTAAGTTAAAATTCAGTTCCTCAGTTGTACTAGCCATAGTTCAAGTGCTCAGTAATCACATATGGCTGGTGGCCACCCTATGGAACAATGTAGATTATAAAATATTTTCATCATCACAGAAAGTTTTATTGGATAGCACTATTGTATACCATTATGCTAAAATTCAGAGACTAATAAAAAGAGGTGGCTGAGACCTTAGAAATCATCTTATTTTCCTTCCTATGAACTAATCCTTTCTACACTCTCCTTGTTAAATGTTCATTTAGCCCCTGTTAAATACCTAAATTGATGAGGTGCTCATTTCTTTTGGAGGTAGCCTGTTCCATTTTTAAAATAAATCGTAATTATTAGAAAGTCTTTTTTATATTAAGCCAAAATCTAGTTCATTATAATGTCTAACTTTTTGACATCATAAGACCACCTGGAAACCACAAAAACCAAACCCACTGCTGTCGAATCGATTCCAACTCATAGCGACCCTATAGGACAGAATAGAACTGCCCTATAGGGTTTCCAAGGAGTGGCTGGTGGATTTGAACTGCCAGCCTTTTGGTTAGCAGCTGTAGCTCTTAACCATTGCACCACCAGGGCTGCAGGCCACCTGAAGCAATGCAAAATAATCCTTCATTTATTTTGGAAATTATGTATAGTGTGGTAGTTAAGAGGATGGCTCAGGAGTGAAACTACTTGGCTTCATGTCTTCAGTCCCTACTAACTTACTAGCTAGTTAGTGGGTCACCATTAACTAGCTGTGCAGTCTTCCTGGGCCTCATTTTAACTAGTATTCAAAATGGGTACAATAATAGTAGCTACTTCATGGGCACTATTAAATTAGGTAATCCGTGTGGGGCTCTTATTGCACTGCCTGGCATATAGAGATCTCTTAGCAACTGTTAGACATGCTACTATTATGTATTCTAGTCAGGTCTGTAGATTGAAAGGAAGGGTGACACACTAAATCTAGCTCATGTGAAGGGTTTTTTTCAGGATACAGAGAGGTCAGCAGGATTCCAAGGGTAGGAACCAACTGCATTCAGATCTGGCAAGAATCTGTGAGGAACAGAAATTGCCTTGTATCCAGTCTCTCACAGAGGCCTCCCCTCTGTGATTTTGCCTGTTCACCTCTCTTTTTATTAAGTTGCCTCTACTGTTCACTCATAGTTCTAGAAACTTTGTCTCACACACATCCCATGAAGGCTGGTCTGGTCCTATTTCTTTGTCACCTTCTAGCTCCACACTATTAACCGAGTCTCCCGTATTTATTGTCTCTGACAGAGAGAACATGGGCAGTTGATCTTTCTAGGTCAGATCACTCTCGTACACTAGGCAAGCCTCTGTCTCTTGTAAACAAATACATAGGTGGATTTTTAAAAACTTCAGTCTGATAATCTCTGTATTTTATATGTGACTTTAATTCATTTGTATTTATTGTGGTTGCTGGCATATTTGGATTTATGTTTACCATCTTACTTGTTTTGTTTTTTGTTTACTGTCTTTTTACTTGCTTTTTATTCTTTAAAATTTCCTTACTTCTGTCTGATGGAGGTAGTTTCTATATTCCCTTTCTTTTTATTTGATATGTATAGATTGTTTTCTGATGTTTTAGTGATTACCCTTAATATTTCAGCATATGTTCTTAATTATAAATTTTTCTAACAAAGTCTAAAATTATTCAGCAATTCATTTCTCTTCCTGAAATATTTCAGACAGTAAGATGCTTATTCACCCACTGTAAACCAACCCCCCACTTATTATTGTTGTCTAGAATTTTATTTTTATCTTCCTCCCCCTCCAACTTTCAGATAGATGTAAATTTTCTCTCAATTCAAATACATCACATACTCTCCCTTCCTTCCTTCCTCCCTCTTTTCCCTCCTCTCTTCCTCCCTCTCTCCCTCCTTTCTCCTTTTCTTTCCTTTCTTAATTTTTGTATCTGTTTGTCTCTTTGTGCTGCTTTCTGGGTGAATTCCTCAAGACTCTCTTTTAATATATGAATTTCATATTTAACTATTTCCAGTTTAGAATTTATCTAGCCTATTAATTCAATTTAATTTATCATTTGAATTTCAAAGATTTCTAATTGACTCTTTTTTAATATTCTTTTTTTTTGTTTTCTGCTAGTTTTTGTTTCATAGCTGCATGTATTTTTTAAAGGGATATTACTCTTTCATTTATCTTTCTGAGTATCCTAAAATCCTTAGAACCAGATATGTTTCAGAATACAGAATTTTTAAGATTTTAGAAATATAAAATGATACATGTATATCATCCCTAGTGGGATCCAGGACAACACCTTGTAATTAAACAGATTAGTATTTCTCCAGTGAAAAGCATGAATAGACACACCAGGGCAGATACATAAAGACTACGTGTATATGATCTTAAATTAGTTCAGGTCAGATTTTGCCACTGAATAATGACTGGTTTGGTTAGGTTAGGTTTTGCCACAAAACAAGTTACAAAAAAAATTTCCTTTTCAGAGTTTGGGGATTTCATATTATGGACCAGTATACTTACATTAAAGGAACCTGGTGGCGCAGTGGTTAAGCACTCGGCTGCTAACTGAAAGGCCTGCGGTTCGAACTCACCAGCGGCTTCACAGGAGAAACGTGGCAATCTGCTTCCGTAAAGATGACAGCCTTGGAAAACCCTATGAGGCAGTTCTACTCTGTCCTACAGGTTCTCTGTGAGTTGGAAATGACTAGACGACGAGTTTGGTTTTTGGTTGGTTTATACTTACATTAAAGTCTTTGTCAGGCTAGTCCCTAAAATTCATTTCATCTGAAGTGAATTCACTTCTGATTGATGATTTTGTTGTCTGTATTTCATAACATTAGATTTCTTTATGTGTTTTTGAATTTTGTATGCAGGCTTATAGGTTTATTTTGAATGAGAGGTTTTTGTTCTTTCTCTTTCTCTGTTCCAGCCTAGCCTAGCAGTTTTGCAGTGTCTTTCCCAGTCCACTAGTCCGTTAGTCCACAGCCGGACATTACAATGTACCCCTCTGTTGTGATACTGAGGACTGCACAGATTCAAACACTGAGTCAGTGCGTGGCTTGGCTCAGTTCTTGGTCGTGATCTTTGGTTCCCTAATTCCATAGCCTTTTTTAAAACTATAATAGGCAGAGGATTAGCAG